TAAGAGATGCTTTGTATTTCATCTTTCTGACAACTCTTTAGCAGTCTCATGCAGGATCTCCCCATAAGCCTTCTAAAAGAAGATCAGCAAATTCTCTCTCCCTCATCTGCTTTAGGAAACAGCTACTCTCGGAATCCCTGGCAATTAGGTTATCACAACACAAGCTTTCAGGGGTAGGCTTTTTAAAGCTAAATATTTCTATGATTTTGCCACCCCTCCAGATTACTTTCTAATTTTTTCCTAAAAACAAATATTTGCTACCCTTCTGTAGCATCCATAACTGAAACTTTACTGTTTGTTAACTGCTCACTCACTTTGCTTTTCAGATCCTTCAAAACTGTTTAATTTGCTCCGACAGTTCTTCTGCGACCCAGGAAGCGACAGGTAATTTTTTCAAAGCCAGTTCTACTGTTGTGTATGGACTATGATGGGCTCCTTCCCCCATCACTACATTATGGTGTAGTTTTGCACGCTATATACCAATGAATCCAGCTGTCTTCACAGAAGCTAGTGGTACAGCCTTAGTGTTTGTATCTGTATCGGAGTCAAACTATAAGCGGGATGCAGTTCCATACCCCTTCCATTTGGATGCACCATCTACCAGCCTAATGTATCTATCCTTCATCTGTTATAACATCCCCCATATGCACAGTTTAGTTGTTTCTTTGCAGCGTGAGTATAATTCTCCCCCAGAAGAGCTCACCTGGGCTCTCTGCGTGATGAGCTGGGAAGCGTTAAACTTGGCTACCACGCTCTTGAGCACTTCGTTAACGATGGAAGGCAGGACTCGCTCCTCGTAGTCCAGGCCCAGGCGCTGGTACATGCTGGGCAGCTCCGCGGCATTGGGGCGTGTGAGAACGCGCAGGGAAATGTTCACCATCTGCAAATCTGAAGAGGAGAAAGAGACACCAGCAGGGTCGGCGCTGCGGCCGGACTCCTGTCCCCCTCCTCCCCCTCCCCACAGGCGCCGCCTGGGCCTCGTGCTCCGGCCTGCGGGGCCTCTCTCACCTTTGGAGCCGGTGGGGGAGGAGATTTTCCGCGGCCGGGCTCGAATGTCGTAGATGATGGGGTACTGGAACCAGGGGATCCTGCGAGGGGCGGGAGGGCCGTTACTAACGCGGGGAGGTAGGGCCGGGGCCGGGCTCCGGGCGG